TTATGATAATTATATGATATTAAATAAGTGAGCATATATTAATTTGTGTCTTATGTTAATTCAAAAATTAGTTATAATTAACTATCTCACTTAGATTGTAATTTGTAAAGTTTGTGTAGGAGTTCTGTTGGCTAGAGGAGTTTCGAGTGGCTGTTGCAACCCCAATTGTGCTTGGGAGCGATGACCAGTGAATGGATAGGGAACATTGAGAAGTGCTTGGCAAGATTAGGGTTGCAAGCCAGGGTGCATTTGGGGTGGCTGCCTTGGTGGTAGGTTTGTCCAACAAGGTGTGGATCGATGATGGAAGGGGACTAGAGCTGATATTTTCTTGACTAGGGTAATTGGTGTCTTCAATTGGTCGGACTCATGTCTACTAGCACACATTTGTAAGTTATAGGAAGTAATTTTGCACGGTAGCAATTTATAGAGGTTTGTCCTTGGTCTTTCATCTAATTATATGCAGACAATAGGCTTTTGTCATTTAGAATACCTTAGCTTGCAATGTAATAATTGCATTGAACTTGATTTCGGTCTTTTTCTCTAATTCTTGTAACATTGTGTGATTCAAATGTATGGCATACATTTCATAAAGAAAATAATTTGATAAAAAAAAATCTAAAAATTAGGATGTATTTTCTTCGCCTACAGTCATTTCCGAAATTTTAAGGAAAAATTTCCATTAGTTTTTTTTAAAAATATTATTATTAGCTTGGAATGAAGGGCAATTGGGTCATTTAGAAGAGACAGGCCTATGTTGTGGAGGGCTGCCTGAGACAAGCCTATGTTGTGGAGGGCTGCCTGAGACAAGGACAGGGCCAGATGAGATCTGCATGGCCCCCTATTCAGGACTTTCCGGTCGTCTTAAAAGTGAAAAAATGGGATTTACCCAAAAAAAAAAAGAAAAAAGAAAAAAGAAAAGGGAAATGATAATATTTTCTTTGTTTTCTTTATTTATTGTTTTGGTTTTATTATTACAAAGAAAGAAAACGACTTGCATGGGAGATGGGACAATACAATACCGAAAGGCCAGATTCCTCCCTCCAAAAAGCAGCTATTCGAATTTGAAATGTTGTTGTTGACCGTTGCTTCCACGGCTCTTTTCTTTATTCTTTTTCTTTTTGGTTTATATTGGGATACTACTATTTTATTGTTCACAATTCAGGACTTTAAGTTAAAGTGTGAGGCAGTGACTTGTCAGTGAATACATACACACACGAGTTAGTTTTCTTACATCTAGGATTTGGATGTATGTTTTTTCCGCATGAATAAGACAGTTTGATATTTCATAATTTAAATTGTATTAGATTGTAAAATATTAATTTTTAAATAAATGAGTTTGCGTTCGTTATTAGGGGGATTTTTCATTATCTAATAGTTAATGTTTTGTAATTTAAGATAGTTTAATCTATAAAACAAACTATTTCATAATGAAAAATTGTTTTTCAATCTAAACTATAAAATATAATTTTTTTTATTTTTTATTTTATAAATAATAACGCTATTGATTTGTTCTCGGATTTCATCATAAAGGGCCATTTTCCTACCTAAAAAATGTTGACGGCGTTGGGGGTTAAGGGTGGGAGCCCATTGAGTCTAGGGTGTGATACTTGGGCTCTTACACATTTCACAGTAGAAGCCCAAATTGAGAGTTTTGGGTTGGGCAACTCCTAACTAATTCAATCTTGGATTGCAAATAACTATCTGCATTCACCTATCCCACTTTACCTTCTCACAAATTGCAATTAGGTGATGATGAATCTAGAGTGAGATGCCTTGCCTTTTGATTTGAATTAGGAAAGTGAATTTAGTATGACGCACAAAATTTGAGCCATGATATCACCTAATCATTAGAGAAAGGTCAATTTATTCGAATCGAGTCAAGTGGTTAAGGAATTGTTTAAATCAAATTAAAAATGTACTAAATAAATCAATTTATTCCAATCGAGTCAAGTGGTCAATTTATTCAATCAAATTAGGTTTAAATCTCTCTCAGGCCATTTGAGTGCAAGCAATTTTAATGTACTACACTTAGCCACCTTTTAAGGTGGAGTCTTACTTAGTATTAATGAATGGGGTGGTTGGCAAATTCTTGTAAAATTAGTTGAGTTAAATGCTTAATACCTATATTATCCAAACCAAAAAAAAAAAAGAGGGGGAAGAAAAGAAAAAGGCTATCCTGAATTGTTATTTTGGGACGTGCAAAATTATGCCCTCCAAATGCTTAAAAGACTAGATGGTTTGTGAAGAAATCAATACTACTTATCAATCTACTTACTAAATTTTTTATCATTAAGACTCAAAATGCACATTAAGTCTCAAAAATTCAAAAAAAAAAAAAAAAACCCACAAATTTTTTTAGTATCCAGATAATTCTTTATTTATCAGCTC